TTGGGGTCTGTTGCTGAGATAATACTGCAGTGGCTGCTATGACGACGATGAGGAGGAGGGCCACAACGGCCTCTGCTGCGGCAAGAACCAGTCTCATCGCGAAGGCTGCTTGTGAAAACCCTAGTGCACCTGCACGCACAATTATTACCTTACGCCCTTGATTTATCATTCCAGATGCTGCGGGCCGTGCTGACTCTATTGCGCAATAAGCATAACATTCCTCAGCCTATCAGTTCATAAACTCAGCTGATGTCAGCTTAGGTCGATGTGTGAGGTTCCAGCAGCGCGTATGAGTACGTTAATAACGTAACTTATGATTGGCACGGTCTGCAGCACTTCTAAGACCAGCGATCAAGCCGAGCCCGTTGAAACCCATGCTAGCTCTAAAAGATCGACGCTAAATTTTATGCTCCGGCTGCACGAGCACGCGTGATCACGCATGTGTGTGTGTGTACTTCCTATTGCACTGGAACGTCGACAGTAGCCCTGCACTTGCTTTTCGCTCACCGAAGCTGATATGCGAGAACGCCTGAATGCAGGCCACTTGGCTTTTACCAAGCCACCTACATGTCCTAACTTGACTTACAGCCACTGAGTGCCGAACCCCTGTGTCGCTACGACAAAAGTTAACAGATCCACGTTGTGAGGGCTTGCGCGTTGAACTAGTAATAAACAGTAGCAAACACTCCCCGGAAGGATTGGACCAAATTGGATTTATCAAGAACGGCCAAAAAACGCCCAAGTAGCTTGTAGGAAGCCCGCCATTTCGCATGGACAAGAAAAGCATGTGGCGATGCCCAACCCTGGACTCCCCTAGAATTACACAAAACTCAACACCGAACATAGTCTACGCACCTCAACCTGATGCGCCGAGTCAGCTGGGCGCTATCTCTAAAAAGAGCTAAGGGCAAGAGTGCGCAAGATTTCACAGCAATCAATATCTAGAGTGTCTGACGATGCTGTAGCCCACATCGCAGTGCCAAGTCCAAAATCTCGAAGATCAAGCCAAGCACCCACCGAAATCCTAAATCCTAAGCCCTATTGGTTGAGGAGGAGCTGCAGCGCATATGCCCTCATGTCCGTCTCACCTAAACCCTAAACCCCTATACCCTTCTGCTGAGCGCACAGATCTGCGAAAACAGGGAAGCGGGAAGCCTCGAAGTTCGAAGTTTCCGAACTTCTCGCGCCACACCGCAAGGCGAGAAACGGGCTCGGAGCAGCTATAGTGTATGGTATAATAAAAGTATGTTTGCATGTAGACGGATGACATTGAAAACATGATACAATATAATTGCTAGCATACATACACAGTAGACTACAAAAAGTCATACTATGTAACATTGAATACCCGGCAAGAAAGTCAAGAAGGCCTGGGATTCGAAGACATCATTGTTTCTTAGTGCTGCTTACCTTGCAAGCAACCAGCAAGCGATCCCAACAGTCCAACGCAAACATCACAGTCTTACTCGGCCATAGTGAAATTTCAGTCGAGCCTGCACTGGCATACCCTTGACTTGAGCTCCCTGAACTCGTTGTCCTAGAATGTTCGATTGTAACAAGGGTGCCCCAGAGACACAACAAAACCAAGCAAGCATAAGGATACCACGTGGTACCACTCAAGGCGCCTAGACTAAAGCATGAAGTCAAGTCCTTCACTGCTGGTGCCATAGCCCTAGGCCACTGCTGTTGTTCACTTTCGTGCCCTGAGTTGGACGAAGTGCAGGCGTGAGCTGCTCAGAGCCTTCGAAGTCGGAAACTTTGCAGGACACATCATCAAAACACAAACCCAAACTATTTGGCCAGTGGGCCTCAGATATCTTGGCTTCCTCAGCCACTTGCAGGCACCAAGGCCACATGAAGCATGCTGACTTCCAAGTTTTGGGGCTTGGGGTGTCGGAGAATCATGCCGGCCACGAGGCCCCAAGCCCTTGTATCATAACATACCATCATATCCTTGGATATACTAAGACATATTATAATATACAAAGAATGTTATCACATGCCATGGCTACAACGAACTGGGAACTGACTCTCTTCAGGGATTTGACTACTTCTGAACCTCTCCACCTGTCAGTGGTCCTGCACGGCTTTCTCTTCCTGTCATGCTATACGCTATACGAAAACTAGAAGCTGGCGAGACACAAGCCACACCTTATCCTTCGCTCCCTCTGTTCATCTTTGTTGTGTTTGCACCTGAAAAACACACACACACACACACACACACACACACGGCATACCCAGGTGAACATGAAGCCGAATGGTCTTGATGCCCACCCTCCAGAACACAAGCATGCCCAAAATAAACACAGCTGGCAACCCCACAAAAACTGACTGCTTGAGGCTTGTGCAGTGCAAGGCTCTGCCAAGATTCGGGTTCAAGTTCCCCGGGCACTTTTGAGGCGGTCGAAGACTGCTTCGACCTGACAAAAGGGTCGGGTGCTTTAAACCCCTATACAATCCGATCAACATCCTAGAGTGCACAAGGGTACTTCTGTTTGATCTCGGAAGACGAAGCGTGGAAAGTTGCACGCACATCTTTGGCAACAAAACCTGCTGGGCCAGGGTTTACTTGGACCAGGAAGCGGCCACTGGAAGGTCCTCCCATAAAGCAAGTTGGAAATACGAGCACGGAATAACGATTCATCCAGAGTCCAGAGTTCGGATTGTCCGCTGGTTTATGTTTGTGTGTTTCGTAACAGGTCAAATTAAATTCAGGGCCACAGGTGCACTTAGACAACGCGCGGACCCCTAAAACTAAACCCTAAACCCTTATTCTTCCACGACGCGCGGACAGCAGATCGAACAATCGATATCCCCAGACCCGGAAGGCCAGTGGCTAGCCGCTTCGGAGCCATCCAACCGACCGGATAAATTGCACAATATTTCCCTGCCAAACAACCTCGGACTCAAGTCGCACCTGATCCTGCAGGTTGGCCACAGCCTTCGTCAGCTGCCTGCAAAACCAGGTTCTGAATCTCAGAAAAAATTCCAGTTTCTCTGTCAGACCCGACGACCTAATGATGGCGTTCGTGCGCACAGCAAGTCATGCAGGTCCTGTGTGACCAGTTTCGAAATACCTAGCCCCTGACAATCCCACTCCGACTCCGTTGTGGCATCTGACTTTATACATGGCTGTTTTCCGCTTGAAGTCAAAATCCTGGGTGGGGTAGGATACGTGGCTGGAAGCCGTCCAACTTCGGGTGCTTCTGCCGCGGGGATTCCCTCCAACATGATGCAAGCCCTGTCAACTATCTTCGCTGTTTAGCCTGTCAGCCCATGTCGCAAAGTCGTCACTGCAAGCATGCGTCCAAGGCTCAAGCTTCGCAGATATCAGCTAGCTACAGAAAAAATCTACCATGTCCGTGGGCGAAATGCATGGTGGAAGAACTCGGCAACATCTCAAACTTCTCTGTCCAAGTCTGGAGTTGGGTTGTCAGGATACGACAGATATTGGTTGCCCATTGATCTAGATCTCTACACTTAAGCTGCGCACCAGAAGGAATCGAGGCTAGTCACTAGTTAGCGCCACACTTTAGAAATTGCGGGATGTCTAGAGTCTAGAGTGTTCCGCCCTATCTTCGAGCAGAAACGTGAATAAGGTCTTGTTGTTGCGGTGACCGTCTTGCGTTGCTTACTGCGCGGCTGGGTGCAAACTCAAGTCCAAGCTGTGCTTGGCTGCTCATGCCAGGCTGGCACGCAAACGAGAACTCAAACACCCTTCCTAAGTCTATACCCCCTCTTCAGGAAATCGCCGTCTGCGGCATACTTCTCGTGACATTGCTAAAGCGAGAGAGACACCAGCTCTTGTGTCGATTCGTGTAAGACCATCCCAGCAACAGAATGTTGCATAGGCTCGCAGATCAAGAACTAGCAAATAGCATGCAGAAGCAGGAGCAATAGAACTACTATCAGCAGTAGCAGTAGCAGTAGCAGTAGCAGTAGCAGTAGCAGTCGCAGTCGCAGTCGCAGTCGCAGTCGCAGTCGCAGTCGCAGTCGCAGTCGCAGTCGCAGTAGCAGAAGCAGTAGCAGTAGCAGTAGCAGTAGCAGTAGCAGTAGTAGTAGTAGTAGTAGTAGTAGTAGTAGCAGTAGTAGCGGTACTAGCGGTGATCGTCAGTGATCGTAGTGGTGGTAGTAGTACTGGTAGTAGCAGCAATTGAGTTGAGCGCTTTCTCTAACTTTAAAACTTGGAACCCTCTCAACACTCATGTGCTCACTTCCGTCCCTCAAGGGGGCGAGAGCTAAAGAATCCCTATCCTGACTTTTGCGTCCCAGGCGTCGGATCCTAAATCCACAAAGAGATCCAAAACCTCCGTTCAACCTGGACGCCCGAAGCCCAGACTCTCGACTTAAGCACTGCAGTCCTTAAAATGTTTAGCAAGTATAATATGTTCAAAACCGGCACAATCCCAAACCTTGAGATTCAAGCCTTGGGCTCGTGACCCTTACGAAACGAAGGTCTGTACTGTCACCCAAAACTCTCTGTCACGAAGCTTCTCCTGGGTCTGCTTCGCTGTCGTTCTTTGAACTTCCTACATTGCTGTGCCGGATGCGGGGGGGTTGTCGGATGGGCTTCGGCTAGCCTCGGATCAGTGCCAGCTTCGTAGAGGATTAATGGGGGATGGATGCACGATGGATTAGTTCAGGATCCGTGTAGGATGAAGAGGAAACACAAAGGGAGGCGGCCTCCCTCCGGAGACATAGGATGGCTACCCTTTTTGCACAGGCTTGCGTGAATCTCGCCTGGACGTGTCGCACCCGTTCTCTGAACAAGGCCCCAGCCATCCTAAACCCTAAACCCTAAACAACTCCAAACCATGAAATTGAAATCCTCCCGCCGAACCTCCGTTTGGTCCGAGCGCTTTCTTCATCCTGAGCAGCTTCGGGGCTAATGCAGCTCAGGCTTTTATTGGCTTAGGGCTTGTAGACTCTCACAACTTGATACACTTCTCGATTTGTGCGCGTCATCCTTGCGCAAAAGCCATGCTAATCTAGGGCTTATACAGGGTTTCGGGCCGGTGGCGAGAGGGATTCACTATGATTCACTGCATGGGGCTAGGCCTGGTGGCTCGTGCCACAGGCCTTCCAGTGGAGCCGGGATTTTCGATGCGAATGACGAAAGCTTGGATGCCACGTTTGCCATTCTCAGGGTCTAGGGCATTGGGTTTTTGGATCATAACAACGGATGCAGTGGTCACAGGGCGCCATGACCGACAAGCAGCCACCAACCCCAAAAAAATGTAACCATGGATCTGGTACCAGCTTCGGTTGCAGACTTTGCAAGTGTTTTACAGAGCTCGAGCAGGCTGGGCACTTGATCGGCCACGCAAAAATCTCCTGCGATTGCTTCATGTTTGCTTTTGTGCCGTCCATCCTTCCTGTGAGGAGTTGCATCTTCAAGCCCGTGAAAACTACCACAGGCTGAAGTCACAAAGTAGTTAGAACTTGCTGTCGATACACTGAATCACATCCGCAACATTTCAAGCCGAACTCATGCCCGTCCTCTGTGCTGAGGCCTTCCGTCGACACCTCGTCTACCACAAATCGGGACGCTCGGTACAAGCTTCTGTGGGTGGGGGAGGGTCTCGAACCGTCCTTAGGAAGAAGGAACACAAAAAGCGCCTGAAGCACCGCTTTCCTAGGCCTCTTACAGGAATCGTGCACGGGTACCAAGTAGCTCACATCCACCACGTGCCGGGTAGGTCATAAACACCAGTATTTGCCTCGACCCTTCGACCCTCCATGGCAGTACTTTCTTTCGCTCGCTTGGTGTCCTGGTCCAAAACTGGTTAACCTGAAAAGCAACCAGGTCGGATGGTGTATGAGTGTATGAGCACTAGCCATGTAAGCAGTGTTCATGGATGGCATCGCAGAGTGGTTCGAAACGCACCGGGCATGTACCATCTTCCATAATTTGTTTGAACCCTTTGGACATAAGAGGCCCGGGCACTCAGCCTCCTGAAGCCTTTTTCACATCAGAAGCATGTGCCAGATCCTTACCCTAAGCCCTAAACCCTTCGACTCCCTAGACTGTGTAAGGCGAAGCTCTGGACTCGGGCAGCGGCAAAGTCGATTCCCTTGCACTGAAGCTGGTCAAGTCGAGCCTTCTTGGGCGCCAGGGGCTTCCTTCCCTAAGCCTTAAAACCTGTTTTTGCATCCAGACCTATTGCGACTTCAGAGGTAAGCCCTAAACCCGAAACCCCTAAACCCCTAATTAAACTTCCAGCATTGGTCTGGGAACCTTGGGCCCTGCACCCCGTGAGGCTGAGACATGTTGGTTCATGATGCCCGTGGTGCCGTTCTTCTCTGCACCGCTGCCATCGCAAGCAACTATACGTGCCTTTGCCGAAGGGGATGCAAAAGGGGTCCTGGTCTTATAATAAATATAGGATCAAAAGTTTTGGAATTCAACCCTTCTTCTATCTTCTTCTCATCCTTATTCAACTCCCCAATATAAGATGTCACTCAGTTGTCCGTCCCCTGGCTCTGGGATGAGCTCAAATTTTACATTCCCCCCGGCCTCCAGCTGCGCGAGATCATTCCAAGCTTGCCCTGGACTAACCTGCGACTGGGTCGCGGGCACCGAGCCGACATCCGAAATCTACTTCTGGAGGATTGAAATTAGGGGTCGGAGTCCCTTGACGGACCAACCCCGGCTCTCATAACAGCGGCTTTTTGTGGCCTTGAGGATGCATGGGGAGTGTCGACATCAAGCAGATCTTGCGTAACAGCGATTCGCTTCATCCCGGAAACTCCGACAAGCGGCGTCTAAACATCGGGCATCATGGGCCGAGCCAAGCTTATGCTTCTTTGACAAGTTTGGGACGAGACATAGCGAAAGCACAGGAGTCTCGATGGTGGCCTTCGGGTATGCAGTAGCATGGTAGAGCTGCACATTGTGGTAATCCAGGATGTGGCTTAAGACTGGCTTAAGTGTGACGATCATCTTTAATGTGGCCCAAGGTGTGCGACGCATCGTCAATCTTTGAAATCCGCCCATCCCAAACTGATTTCAGGAATAGGGCTCCGGGCTAGCGGGCATGAAGGGTTGAGAAATTCGGCATGAGAAAACTTAACTAAGGCACTAAGGCCTCAGACACAAATGACAGGAGCAGTAGGAGCAGCAGCAGGAGGAGTAGTAGCATCTCAAACCTCCAAAACACAAACGATCAGGTCAAGCCCTTCCCGCTCACAAGCGGTGCCACCTGAAGAGTCTGCAAAGCATCTTCTGTCGAGCGCAGCTCAGCCCGGGCCGACTGCAGCTGTGCCTGGATCTGTTTTTGAGTTGCTGGCGCTCCTTCCTGGGTCCCCTTGCATTCCCAGAGAACCCAATACACGATAATTAAGGAATATACCAGTAAATCACAGAATTAAGGCCCCTATGGTTTAAGGTATATTCCTCAATTAAGGTGTATTGGGCTCTCTGGGTTTACTCCTTCCCTCATGTCTATGCATCGTGATGCAGCGCATGCTTTGACACTGACTCATGTAAGCCCGCTGCTTGCAGCAGTGAAAACCTGTACATGCGTATGTACTATGAACCCTTTTCTGAGGAGGGACTGCGACGCCCTAAACCCTGAAAGCCTTCATTCCCAGGGTCCACACTTGAGAATCCTAGCTTTTCCCATGCCATCCTATGCTAAGGCCCAGCCTCGCAGCCCTTGAGGCGCTCGAATGCCGCCATGGCCGGCGACTGCGCTGCGGCCTCACATGGTTTGCGACGTGCTTAGGACTTGGGAGTTTGGGCTTCGAGGTTCATTAACTTTGCGGCTGTTCCGTTGCGTAGTAGCAGCAGCAGTAGCAGTAGCAGTAGCAGGAGCAGTAGTAGTCGTCGTCTGCTGGTGGTGACCTCGGTGGCAGAGCCAGTAATAGAGGTAGTGGTCACAGCAGTAGTATAAGTAGCAGCGGTAGTAGCACCAGCTCTTGTTGCAGAGGCAGCAGCAACGCAACCTCGGCTGCTGCCGTCGACGCTGGAAATCCACACACAGCTCGGAACTGGGCTGTCTTTACATGTGGCTTTTGCACTTCAAAAGAAAACTAGCTCTTGCCTTCACGGTCCCGTTTGTACTCTTGGGGGGCAGAAAAAACACCTGCCCCAATAAGGGTTCGTGATGTGCGCCGCCTGGGGTGCGTCGTTGAGACCAGGGTCCTTGACCTCAGCTTGCCATCGAACTTCAAGGGCCGCAGAATGCGAAATCACTGGGTTCAGCATCTGGGGCCTTCAATCCGTCAGGACTGTGTGATGTATTTTTCTATCGCATAAACCATTAGAAACAACATGCTGGAGATCAGTGTAACAAAGGCCCAAAGGTTACATGTCCGTGGTGGCTATAGTCTTCGCTTGAATGCTCGCTGACAATGAGCCCATGCTTGAGGTATCAAGCAACGTGGAGGGGCGCAGGATCCCAAATTTGCATGAGGCCCCACGGGAGACTACGGATCCGATGAAGCTAAAGCTGTATATCTCTTTCTGTTTGGAATCTCTGGTCGTCGATCGTATGTTGATTTGATGTTGATCTCTCCCTCTCTCTCTCTCTCCATAGACACTGATTTGCATTTACCTCCACACGAAATATGTATAATGTATACATGCTCACAGTCTTACCCACTTCCGCACATGCAGGCAAGTGCACATTCTTTCACATAGCTCAACACAGAACACATGTATCAAACCAGCGCCGGCATATGTGCCTGCGCCGATACTGTGCTGGGAAAATGCATGCATCTGTGACATGAACCGCTGTCCCTGCAGGTGCTGGCAATGTGCAAGCATGTGTCCACACATATCATGTATGCAGGCAGCGAAGCAGCCCTGAATCTTAAATACACCTGCAAAGCTAATTCAAAACATAGCCCTGTGCGTGAATGTATTGTGGATCAAATCTGTCTACCGACCTACCTACCTGCACAAGTTTGTAGACATACATGTGTGTGCATGTGTAGATGTACAAACACATTGTGTCCAACAAGGCAAGACAGACGTTTGCATATTGGCAGTTCGACTTGTTCCTGCGTACTGTTGCTAGTTTATGTGGGTAAATGTGCTCCTGTGCATGCTCACACCTCATCTGGATACCGAGCAGCCATCCCGATTGCTATGGCTCAAAGAACATATTATGTGTAAAGACGCCCTCTGTGTTGAGCGCACGAAATTAAATCGAGTTTACAGAATTATGAGGCGCACCCTGCTCAAGCAAGCATGCTGTCTTGTTCGCCGACACATATGCGGACCTACATGGTGCAACATAGAAAACCCCGTTCTCCAGACTTCAATTGGAGCCCTGCTCGAAAATTCTCAAGCCCAAAAGCCTGCCAGTCCTGCCCGAAGTTCCGAGTTACAGCTTGGGCCTATCTTGCATCCCGGCGGCGAGACGACACAACATCAACAAATGATATCAGCACCAGTCCACAATCTTTGTACACCAAACTCGCGTGGGGTTCCTACGCAATCATCCCAAGAAATCCAGAGTAGTACGAAGGCTTCTTGGCCTCTTGCACAGCCGTCTCCCATGACTATGACCTGGGCAAAGGCCCAAAAGAAAAAATACCCGCTCTGCTCTGAAAGTGCCACTCATACCTGTGCACGAGGGTTGCTATCCTGATTGGTAGTCGGGAACAATCCTTCTGATAGGGTTTTGGGGCATATTACTGTAGGCTTTATATAATATCAAGAGCCCTACGGGAATAACACCAAATAATAAGGCCCCCATGTTGCACATCTTGTTTATGGCAATGATTTATGGGGCGCATTTCGCTGCGACGGCCTCGGGTCAAAAATGAACTCTGGCAGAATCCAAGGAAGCTCCTCTCCAAACTAAAGTGCAAGGGTTTAATGTTTGAACCCTTTGGCCCCCCGGTCAAAAAGTTAAAACCCTTTCAAACTTTATAAAGCCATACTAATAGCATATAAACCCTGAACCCGGCATCTGACACAACAAACCCTATCAAACGTTGACCCACTCCCACTCCGTTTCCGAACGTTCCTTGGGCGCCCAGCTGTCGGGGCTTCGGCCGCAGGCGCGGCGAGGTCCTTCCGTGCCTCGCAGGCGCCTCGAAGCCAAAATTCAGTTTAGCGTTGGAGCTCTGTGAGGGTTTGGAGCCATTTACTAGGGATTCGCGGGTTAAAGCCCTTGCAGCTTCTGGCATAAGGGAAGTCACCATAGGAGGTGTTCTGCTTTCAGCACTTAGAAATTTGCAGAAATACGCTGTGGCCTGTTTCGCATGTCTCTCGGTGTGATTGCAGCTGCCTTTTTGATTATCCGGTGTCAAAACCCTTGCACGTGTCTCTGTCTCTGTGTGTGTGTGTGTGTGTCTTCGCTGGTTCGTTGGTTTATTCGTTCGTTTTCGTTCGTTCGTCCGTCCGTTCGTTTGTGTGTGTTGTGATTGTGTGTGTAAATCCCGACGTGCACCATTGCTGTTCGCAGAGTGTGATGGATCACGAGCGACATCAACGACGGCGACTGCTACGCCCCCTTGTCCTTCGCCATCCCGTTTGTTTCTCCTCCTACAGCTACTACTACCACTACTATCACTACTATCACTACTAGCACTACTACGACTACTACCACGAGTACTATTTCCACAACTACCACTACCATTGCTACCCATGATGTCTTGAACCCTGAAAACATCATCAGTGCCATAGCTTGAACATAAAAACCGGATGGAGACCTGCAAAGCCTACTGTCTTATGCCTCGGCTCCACGTACAAATCAAGCTTTGAAGCTTACGGTTCATGTCAGCCCTAATTATAAAACCCGGATACCTAAACCCATGCACAACCCTAAATCCTGAACCCTATAGATCCGTGACCCTACAACCCAGCGATTGAATACCAGTTCCGGGGCCCGCGCTGGGTGGCTTTCTCTCAACGGCTGGTCCCTGGAAGCAGGTTCGTTTCTGTCAACTCGCGGATACCACAGAGGGGCTCAAGCATAGAGTTGCGGTGCACTTCTGGACTTGTCTGTGACATCCTCGTGCGAGGGCCATACTTATCTTGTCTGCAGTTTCCCTCGCAGGATCTGGGAAGGGAATCCGAGAATGAGGGGTCAGGCTTTACCTTTCATCGTTTCGGAAAAGTTCGGCCTTCCTTGCTGCAGTTCTCGGCCTATTTAGCCGTGGCTGTGGACAGATGGCTGTGCGCCTCCGCATTGTGCTGGTGGATAAAAACCACATCGCAGGCATCGCAGGACATCCCACGTCATCTCCGCGTGATTCCGAACTACTCATGAAAGGCTGCACCGCAGGTTGCAAGCTTCTGAAACATCCCTTGTCTTGAGAACCCAATCCCTTGTACGGACGGGCCCCATACCCTTATACTATGAATCCCTATATGGTACACGGACCTGACAACCCGCATAAAGTCAATTTCGTTCTTAAGGTACTTCAGACTCAGAAAAGTTTAGGCGAGCCCTAAACCTCTATAAACTCACTTCTGCATCGGGGCTCCTTCCAGGGACGTTTAGAAACTTTATGAACCCCGAACCCAAAGCGCCCAGGAAAACAGCAAATAAACATAATACGAGAGTGCGCCGGCACCTCTGCCGGAGCAGTCCCGAAGCGGGGATCCATCGTGGATGGGGGTCCTTTCCTGGCCTGGACAAGGTGTTTCTTCATATCTTTAGACGTTTCGACTCTCACACTCGCACAAAGCCGGCAAGGCTCCACCCAATCCGGTCACGCATGCCCAGGAAGGATACAGTAAGCAAGTAGCTAAGTTAAACAGTGATAGCGATTGAGGTTGCCAGGATACCATGCCACATGAGTCATTGCTCAGCCTGCCTACTCAAGTCTCACCCAGTCATGTCGACTTAGCAGTCTGTTTCGGTTTGGGTAAGGTTTCGGGTGCGGCGATGATGATTTAATCGGCATCATGCGTTCTAAGACATGGCGGCGTTTTAAGACATGGCGGAACACTCCCATCTCTGCCAGACCCCTGTCTTTGCAGGATTAAGATGCCCGCAAAGCGGAGGAGTCTCAAAATCCTCAACCCTAAACCCTCAGCGAAAGCCGAAGTAGCCTGTGAGCCCCCTTTTTTGGTCTCGGGTTCATGGTTTTTCTGTCATGTGTGAAGATTCATCTCCGCATGATCTTAGGTTGCGACGCTGCCTGTGGCCAAGGCACAGGTCCCGCTATTCTTATTATTTAATTACTATCATTATGATTAATACTATTATTACGATTATTATTATTACCATTATTATTACTATTATAGTCGTAATAATAATAATAATACTGTTTGAAAAACACAGAGCCAGATTTCCTGCCTCTGGGGGCATACCAAGACCAAAAGAGTGCGGCAGGTCTTTGCGAGCCTGTCCCAACGAGCTGTTTGGGGTGCAGGGGTCCAGCTCGAAGAGCCCTACCTGTACCTAATACACAGTTTTCGGCGACAGCAGGGTGTCTGAAACTCGGCTTTTGCTTCAGATTGATGACGACGGTGACGCCATGACGGAGATAATGATGGTAGTAACGTCGGGTGGTGCTGACACATAAAGGAAATAGGAAACTCATATAGAGATTTGTTCAATACGATGACGGTCGTCGGGGGAGCATGCTCACAACTATGCCACATGACAAAGATGCTGTTGGTCTGTGCTTACCATCCCAGTCGTGGTTCTTGGTTGTTCCGATTCTGGCTTTTGCAGCTGCAATCATCTTTTACAGCTGTTACAACGAACAGCAGCATTCTGATCGCCAGGATGTTCGAGGTGAGTAGTGGTCGCTCTGCTACGAGTATTGCCTGTCACGACAACAAAAACTTGGAGCGCCATCAGGCCAAGGAGGCGGCATTTCTTACCAAACTAACTCTTTGCTATTGAAAGTGTCATTCACGTGATGTCTCTTGTTCTGCTTGCCATGGCGAGAGCGGCGTTGCATTCCGTAGGTCCGACAATTACTGTGGCACTCTGGGTTGTTTCAACATTTTACAGTCTTCCTGCACTTAATTGATCGTGCTCACTGTCAGCTAGCTACTACCTAAGATGAAGAATGCCGCTACTATGCACCCTGTCTAAACAACACACATACATCTGTCATCACTGGTTATCAGCACATTTGTCAGCCAGTCGCATTCATAGGCATACACAGCCTTCCTGTGTTTTCGTATTGTGGTTCTCTTGCCGTCTCTTAAACCCTAAGACCTATTCGTTCCACGTTCCTTCTACGGCTCGCTCTAGCACCTCCCAGGCTGCTCCAAAGCCAATGTCGTTCCAAGCCTGTGCGCAAGAGGCTGCTAAACATGAAGTAAATACGCTGAAGAGAGTTTTGGGGATGCTACAGGGAGATCGTATGCGAGGTTTACGAAGTTTTCGAAGTATGCGGTAGTACAGTAGCTCGTGGCACCGGGTAAAGGGGGAGCCCTTGGCATTCGCTGCTGGGATAATCGGAGGAACGGCCTCAAGTGTGAGTGTGTGAGATCAGGTGGGGGTTTCCGAAAAATAGGGGACCCAAATATAGTACCCTAAATAATAGGATCCTAATTCTAAGGACCCCCAAAATAAGGTACCCCCTGTTTTCGGAAACTCCCAGGTTGTATCCAGAGGCTCAGTCTAGGGCTGTGAGACTATAATTATCAGGTATGCGCAGATGAGAAGATCCGAGGCATTGTGTCTGTTCCATCTTTGGGAAGTGGCACGTCGTTGCCATCTGATTTCCTTAAAGAGTTTTGTTCGCACTCGCGCTGGTCGGGTCAGGTGAGGTTCGGCAGGACTAGTAACTAGCAGCATGCTTTCCAGCTACGGCTCATCTCGAGCAGCAGGCCTGTCTGACTCATCCCAAGTCGCTTTCACCAGGGCAACAGCACTCAAAATTTGTGGACGCTCCTTGAAAGGTGACAGGTGCAGGACCTCCGTGCCTTGAAGATAAACGGCGCATCCAAACGAATTGTGTCGGCACAAACATCACAGTCGCCGACTTTTAATTCGAGAAGAGGGTGCGGAGAGCGACGTCAGTCATTCTTGAACAGCCATCCTAAACCCTAGACCCTAAACCCTAAACCCTACATCAGCTACCAGCGCAGGAATTGGGCCGGAAATTTGACAAGACAGTGACCTCAAGGATACCAACGGCTGCGAAGTTGTGGGAATGAGAAGATCTTGCTGAAACCCAAGAGCCACGGAAACATGTCGAAATTAGAAAGGCCATGAAATCGCCAAAGACCTTGTGCTCAAAAACGAAATTCCAATCGTACAGGGACAGGGACAAGCTCCCCTCCACTATGTGGGTTGCCATTTGCAGCTCGGCTTTCCAAGGCCTCTGTCATGCTCGGTGGAGCTTGGAACGGCCTGCACACTTTCAGTAGAGTAGCGCAGGGCTCTATGGGGTTCTGACAGTCTGCTCCGAAAAGAAACGAAACACAGACTGGCGTCGAAAGCACTGCAAGGTTCAGGCCATGCTGGCAAATGCAGGACGCAGCAAAATCCACATCCGCAACGCTGTACTTGTGTGTGTGTGCCTCTGCTCATCCCTGCTCTAAAGAGCCGTCAACGATGATCTGCTGACCATGTCGTGTTCGGAATCTAGCAACAGCTTGGATGTGTGAAGGCAGGTAGCCGATCTGAAATTGCAACGGGAACCCTTAGCCACACCGAAGGCTTGCCTGTGCATCTCCGGCTGCGTGTAGGAAGCGAAGGAGCCGGGCTGCACTGGGCTTGGCTGAGGCTGAGGCTGCCTGCAGGAGCCCGGCTGCAGGCCATGCAATTCGAAGCATAGCGTTTACTTCGGTGTGGGCGTTTAGTTTAGGGATTTAGGGCTTTAGACTCTAGGACCTTGAGTCCTTGAGGATTGCGAAACCCATCTACGTGCAAAGTGTGCGATGCAGGGCCTGGGACTTGCGGACTGATATGCGGGCCTTAACAACTACAAGTAGAACAAGGTGCGATATAATATATGAACTATGACTACATTGAACTTCAAAAACTTGTACAGCTAATTATTCCGACCCCTCCATGAGATGCCTTGCGGATTCCCTGTCCGCGCGAAGCTCTTATGCTCCAAAGGAGCAAGTCCTCCAAAGGCTTCTCGCAGGTCCCTGCGCTCTGCGACCCCCAAACTGACAGAGGCCTCGCCAACTTCCAGACAAACCCTAACCTTAAAACCTAACCCTAGACCCTATATGCTAAACACTAAAACCCTGCCCTCGGATTTGCGGGTTTGCAGGAGCCTCCTGGATCTAAAGCCCTGTGAACATCCGGGGTACCCGAAGTCAAACCTTACCTAACATCGCAAAACCTACATTTTGGAGCTCTAAACCTAAACCAAGAAAGCGTCAGAAAACAAACAATGATAATACAAGCAAGCAAGCAAGCAAGCAAGCAAGCAAGCAAGCAAGCAAGCAAGCAAGCAAGCAAGCAAGCAAGCAAGCAAGCAAGCAAGCAAGCTTG